TGGCAGCCGATGCTGTCCCCAAGATGTTCATTTGTCACCCCATTTGGCTTGTACCAATTTAAGGTGATGCCATTTGGTTTGAAGAATGCCCCAGCCACTTTCCAGAGGATGGTGGACCGGATGCTGGATGACCTCCAGGAGTATGCCTGCGCATACCTGGATGACATCGCCATACACAGCGACACTTGGGAAGAGCACTTAGAACACATGCGAGCTGTACTAGATAGGATTAGGGAGGCAGGGTTGACCCTAAAACCAGCAAGTGCCACCTAGGGTACCTAGGACACTGGGTCGGGGGTGTGGGTCCCAGAAGCCCGAGCTAGCTAAGATAGAGGCAGTAGCTTGCTGGCCCCATCCCCGCACTAAGGTCCAGGTGATGGCCTTCCTAGGGACTGCCGGTTATTACAGGAAGTTTGTCCCCAACTACAGCTAGCTAAGCCCCTCACCGGCTTGACATGAAAGACCTTGCTCCAACAGGTAGATTGGCCCCCAGAGTGTGAACAGATGTTCCGAGCCCTCAAGAACGCCTTGGTGAATGCCCCTGTCCTGGCTGCTCCTAATCCCAGAAAACGTTTTCTCATTCACACCGATGCCTCCATGTTTGAGTTAGGAGCCAGGTTGGTGATGATGGCGGCGAACAACCCGTTGCTTACCTCAGCCGGAAGTTTCCTCAGTAGGAAGGGAGATAACCTATGACACCATTGAGAAGGAGTGCCTGTCGGCGGTGTGGGCACTCAAAAAACTACAGCCCTACTTCTATAGACAGCAATTCCCCCCTGCTCACGGATCATAACTTGCTGGTATGGCTTAACCGGGTCTCTGTGGACAATGCCAGGCTGTTGTGGAGCTTGGCGCTACAACCATATGACTTTACCATCCACTATAGACCCGGTAAGCAAAACGGCAATGCCGACGGATTATCGAGACAGACAGCCCTGGAGAAGTGATCCTTGAGCACTCGCCCGGACATCAACAAGCCGATCCATTGGGATCAGACTGTGTATGCTGACTACTGGTTAAGGGGAAGCTGTGTGGCGGGACCGCTGCCTGTTCATGAATTGCTGTATTGTATTCTGTGTGTTTCCCTGTTATAAATGTGTCTGTTCTAAACCAACATTCTAAATGAGTTGTTGGGGTGGTTCCCGTTCGGGAGGTGAATGCATTCCCTTCGTGGAAGACCCCCCGAATGGGGACCACCCCTACAACTCATTTAGAATGTTGGTTTAGAACGTTCGCACCTCGTAGCGAGATGTCAAAACCACAAACTGCACGGGAAGTCTCGGCACGTGCCTCCCCTGGGTGGCAGCCCATTCGCTAAAGGAACGCATTCCAGGGGGAGCATTTGTGGATTGCTTCCCACCTTGTTCAGTTCCCGAATGGGGACCTCCCCAGTGCCCCTTGGAGTGTTCACACCAATCAATTAGAACGTTGGCAACTTATAACATAAGTTTGAAACTGCAGTAATTAATGAGTGCTTACCTTGGTGGCCGCCGTTCATATAGAGGAGCGGCAGCCCGAACAGAGAAGCTTCCTTTGCCTGGTTTACCCAAGGGACCCACCGTTGGGGGGTGGCTGTTTGTGGCGGTCACCATTTTGGGGGGTCCCTGAGATTGGTGGGGACACTCTTTGGGAACAATGACAGTTTGGCTGGCTTTCTGTAGCTGGGAGTCAAAGATGCGGGAAGCTTTCTTGCGTTGGGGCTACCAGGTACAGAGGCTCATGGGAAACCCTGAGGATGGGTAGCGGGAACAGAGGAAAAAGGGACTGGAGTTCCATTTCCGTCAGGAACCACTGTGAGGGGAAGGACCCTGTGAAGGGACACGGAGTGGCTGGAATAAGGGACAAAGGGACTGGGATTCCGGTACTGTTATACAACCCCTGGGAGGGGGAGGACCCTGGAAGGAGACATCGTCTTGATGTGTGATCCACCCCTTGCATGGGGAAAGTATAAAGCCAAGTGTGACCAATAAAGTTGTGGTTGTACCCCCAGTGTCGTCCGGTTACTGGGTGGAAAATGGGTCTCTCTGTATTATAACTGATTCCCTTCCAGAGAAAGATGTGGGGTTGCTAGGAGGCCCGCTACAGACTGTAATTCATTTTGGATTCTTTCTATGCATGCGGTTAGCAGCATAGAAGGGCTTTGCTTGTTTTGAGCCTCCAGCTCATTTTGTTCTTTGGTAAGGTGGAGTATTGCGGTCTTATGATTTAGTTTTTTTCAAGATCAGAGCTGAATGAACACCCCCATCATGACTGCCTTATGGGCTAGCCAACAATTAATCAGGGATTAATACTGCCCTGGTGTATTGTCCATAAAGTGGTTAGATACAGCTTGTGTAATGCCAGATGCGAGTTTACCATCTGATAGCATTTCATTCAATCTCCATTTTCCTCTTCCACTTGTGGGAAACAGTGAGCGAAATGTAACAGTCACTGGTGCGTGGTCTGACCAAGATCTAGAACCTATTGATACCTCTACTAGATTGGTTAATGTGGCCTTGTCTACTAGGCAAAGGTCAACGCGGGAGTATGTTAGGTGTACCTGTGAGAAAAATGTTAAATCTCTCTCGGAGGGGTATTTACTCTGCCAAGTGTCATATTGGTCATGTGTGAACAACAGATTTGCAAGAGATTGGCTGTTCGCAAGAGCGTTCAGAGTAGGGTGCCTGTCGTTTTTGCATTTGATATCCAGTTCTGCATCTAAAGTACAGTTAAAGTCGCCACATATGAGTACATGGCCTTGCTTCAGGGAGGCAATCTTCTTAAAAACTTTCTGTAAAAATGATATTTGACAATTGTTGTGGGCATAGAAAGAAACTAAGGTGAGTAAGAACCCATTTAAATTATCCACCAGGATCAGCCAGCGACCCAGTTCGTCCATATATTGTGTGCTTGGTTGAAATACCCAATCTGAGTGAAAGAGAATTGAAGATTATATTAGCTTTAGTGTACTAATAATCTTAATTTTAGTAATGACAGGAGGCGAGTATTTGCATATCTTTCTTTACTGAAAACTCCAGCAGCATAGAAACAGTAACAACCAATCAGAGAAAAGATATGGTGCCCATATAAGGCCCTGTCTATGACATCACTTCCTCTTTCTTTGAAGCGAATGATAAACAACCACAACATAAACTTAGTCCGTTAACATTTCAACAAACGTAGCGGAGAAAAACCAACTCCGGCGATTCCATGGTCAAACGGCATGGAAGGTGAAACTTTGTCCCGTAGAGAAGACATTCATGCTGAAAGAAAAAGAAAAAAGTGAAAGGTTTCTGAAGTGGCAACGTGCCCACATATTATAAATATTACGAAAACTGTAACATCTCCTAGAGTATATCGTACTGTGAAAAAACTGTCAATACTCAAATAACTAAACCTGCAAGCTACGCCATGCGATAAGAAGAAAACATCATATAGTGCAAAGAATATGACCAAAATACAGCTACGGTACTGAACATGTGTCCTCCTAAGAGGTAGTACAATATAAACATATAAGTCTTCCTGAACACCGAACACAATCTGTATAGTACAAACTCACCTGGGCGGGATCCAACGGGTGGGAAATACTCGCCTCCTGTCATTACTAAAATTAAGATTATTAGTACACTAAAGCTAATATAATCTTCAATTTTACTACATGACAGGAGGCTTCATATTTGCATTTTTAAAGCTTAGAATTGACCAATGTGAAGGAAGTATGAGATGTTTGCCGAAATAGAGCGTTCTAAACGTACCCTCTCGCGCTCAAACCGCGCATCGTATAATGTCGGTTAGGGAAGCGTCGGACGAAAATGACTTGTGAGGCCGCCGCTCCCTTGACCGAGTGGGCTCCGAAACAAGGTTTGACGCCCGCTAGGTGCAATAGCCAGCGAGTCCATCTGGCGAATGTAGCTGTAGACACCTCTCCATGAGGTTCCACGTAAGAAGTCAGGAGTAGACCCGTCGCATGAGTACGTAGGGGTAATGATTCGGTATACCCCCTTAGCGGTCCGACCACACATAGTTTGGTGTCTGACACAAAGTATGGGTATGACATCGAAGATCAATTGGACTTAGTTCGTCTCGATATGGTAAAGGTAATCCCGTCTGGGGTGAGAGAAAAAAACATCCATATTGAAAGCCCTAACGTCCGTCACCCATCTAAATAAGACGAGGCACAAAAAGAGGGCTAGTTTGGCTGAAAGTTGTTTCAGTGACAAACAAGGATTGTCCTGATATTCCCCAAGGAATCACAGCACCACATCCACCTGCCAGAGGTGTGAATACTTGGGTGCCGGGTCTCGATAATTCGGCACCCCGAAGTAGTCGACAAACCAGTGGATCTTGCCCTACTGGTCCGCCCTGTACCGGAACGTGCGTCGCCGATATGGCGGATCCGATCACGTTGAGGGATCGATATGACCGCCCCAACAAGACCAGGTGTGACAGATAGTTAAGGATCAGTGGGGCAGATGCGGTAAAGGGATCGGAATCCCTTTCCACCCACCAAACACTCCAGGCCGGTCAGGCAGAAATATAGCATTTCCTGGTGCCGGGAGCCTATGAGTCCCATCAGAGGTCTTAGTTGATGCAATAGGTCGTGGACATTTCAGGAGGCCCTGAAATCATCCAGGCCACTAGTGCCAGTCGTCCTTCCACGACAAAGGAGGGGGCTTCCCCTCGAGGTCCCGTCAAAAGTAGAGGGAAGGTAGGAAGTGGTAGAGGGTCTTCGCGAGACGTCCCCAGGCGATCCGGGAACCACGGTTGGCATTGTCCGAGGGGTGTCATGAGCAGGAGCGATATCTTGTGTGTGCGTGTGTATCGAAGCACCCTTGCCATTGTGGAGAGCGGTTGGGTCCGTTTGTATGGGTTCATCCAACGCTACGCATCCGGGAAAGAGTCAAACATCGATTTGCCGATCCAAGATTGCAAGTGAAGTAATCCCCATCGAAATTCCGTCCTCACTTCTGCCGACAGTTGGATCTAGTGGTCGTATGAGTGACCGGCATGTACGTATCTAGTCAGCAGTCGTTGCATGGCCCCGTAGTGTAGTGGGCAAGAAAGTATCGATTGTATGGAGGAGGAGAGGAGTCCCACAATCCGGTGAGTATTCTGAGAGGAATCGTATCCAACCTTAGAGTGTGTCCGACATCCATCCGTATAGGGGCGATCTTCTCCAAGCCGATGTCGAAACCGAGGAACTGACCCGACACAGATGGGGGATCGTTTGTCTGCGTACTACCAAACAAACCAATGGAGTCCAAAACGTGAACGTCAAATTTGACTGCAAACGTAGCCTGGATTCGCAAAGGGTCAGCAAGTCTTCCAGGTACACGAGACATTGCACGTCCAAATTCGCGGATGTGAGCCCTCACCGGCTTCAGTAGCTCCGTGGGCACCACGGAGTCGTAAACTGCTGTTAGTCCTCATCCCTGAGATCGGAGGAAAACTAAGTAGTTTAGGGTAACGGATCTCGACAAGTATGTGTCCTCGGGTCCAGATGTGTAAACCAGTCGTTATCGTTCAGGAAGTCTAGTAGAAGGTTGATTTCTCTATCCTGAAGCATTTGTATACCACGTAGGAGTTCCCTTGATGATAGGTTGACTCACTAGTAGATGAAGCGTTTTGTGGTTCGGTTCCGCTACCGACCAGTCCTCCCAAAACACCTTTCCCCGAAGGGGTGTGGAGGATTTGTTTCAGCAAGGTCTGAGCTAAAGTTAGTGTGGTGGATAAGTTCCCGCCGTCAAATAGTAGGTCTTGTGCTTCTGGGCCGAATACTAGTTGTTCTTAGGTCTAATAGTATGTTGTCGATGCGGACCAGTACAGGTTTGCGCCCGCCGGCGCATAGTGCGTCCTTTGCTCTGCCCTGGGGTCTCAAGCATTGAGTCCATCCTCCGGAGGTGGTAGGGTTGAGTTGTGTACCCTGGTTGAGTGCCAAATCCGCAAAATAGAATATCTCGTAATCAGGTCTGGTAGACTGAGTACTGTATCGTGTGTTGCTGAGTTCGGGTGTGACTGCCACTTTGTCTGGCAGCAGTGGTCTGGGGTATCTGGTCTTGAGGTGTGCGCATACATCCATCCCCAGAGGGTTGAGCAGCAACAAATGTCCGCCATCGCTATCTCCGTCTCAGTCGCCGACACAGAGTGGGGTTTCCCCAACGGATTTCGAGGAAAATAGGGGTAGGTCTTTCCGTTCCACTTCCTCAGATAGCGAGTTGTCTCCGTGTCACTGATCTATTATGTCCACCGTGCGTGGTGGATAGTAGTCTTCTTTGTCGGAAGATTGTGGTGGACAGGGATGCGGAATCCCGGTATTCCGTCTACTTGGTCTGTTCGATAGGGACTTGCCTTAGGGGGTTGGACCCCTTCCCTTGCCGTTTTGACATGAAGGCTCGTGGGGCTGAGGTCTCCGGCAAGCAGTTTGGGGCAGAGCTCATAACAAAAAAACCTTCTCCACTGAGACCGCTACTGCGTCGTTTATCAATGCCTAGAAGTCCTGGGGAGGTTGAGTGTGTCCTCCATGACCCGTTCTCGTCCTGTTGGGACATAGTGGCAGTCAGTGGGAGTAGTGATTGAGGGTCAGCACGTAGGGGTGCTAGACTCCTGGTAGCACTGGGGGTCACCCAGGTAAAGCGGCTTGAATTGCCAGCATCTGATTGTCTGAGTGTATGAAATACTTGTGCCACGTGTAGAGGGGTCACCTCCATTAGTTTAATCCGGCTATTGGGAGCTGAGGCGTAGGTGCGATTGACCTGTAGTGCTGGTCCGATTAGTCGGGTTCACCATAAATGCACGCCAGAGCTGTATGCACGGATGTAACTATACAGGCTTATTATAGAAGCACGTGGGACCTGTCCCCATAAGGTCTGATGCCGCAGGGCCCACGTGTATTCGACTGGGGTCATCCCAGGTGGTGTGCCATGGTAACCCAGAGGACACCCACATTATAATTGTTGGCACCTTACAAGTATTGCATGCATGTCTGGAGGTCACCCCAGGTGGTGTGCCATGAAAAACTACCCAGTGGACACCCACGTTCAATATGTACGCCAGGTACAGTAAAAGTACAGATATGTATCCCTGTGAAGGGTACTCCGCAATACACTCAGTTTACTCATGATCCTGCTTGCAAAACATATCCAGCAAGGTGGTACTGTTGCTTTAATGTAAAACTGCCAGGTAGTTTTTAAACATCCATACATGTATGCAGTAATCAGTGATAAAGTTGAGGCGTAGGTCTTCGTGCCTTCTATCGGGGTTCACCCCGGGTGGCGTGCCGTGGTAACCCAGAGGACACCCACATCAACGTAATGGTCTATGAATGACCTTGCATGCATATCTGGGGGGTCACCCCAGGTGGTGTGCCATGAAAAATACCCAGAGGACACCCACATAGATTTGTACGGTCAGGTACAGCCATATAGTATGACCCAGCGTAGGGTATAATAGTACAGTATGCCCCTGTGTAGGGTACGGTAGTAGTATGTCCCATGTAGGGTACATTAATAGAGTATGCCGCTGTGTGGGGCACAGTCATAAAGTATGCCCCCGCGTGGGGCACAGTAATATATCATGATCCTGTGTGGCATAGATATAGTATATGACCCTTTAGGTTACAGGAGAAAACATTCAGTGTGCATACAATGCTTCGCATGCTGAAATAAAGCCACCATTTAAACAAGGACAAAGTGACAGGCACACACAAACTTACTCTCACTGTTCTCACAGTGCCCACCAGGGGATTTGAACCAGAGCACTTTGCAGGCCTGAGCCTGATGTACTGCTTTCAAAGCCACAGCAGCTCACTGTATATATATGTATATATATCTTCAAGCATATGACATGAGGTAAAATTGCCGTATGGCCGAGGGTTGTGAGAGTCATGGTCCAGCTAGACCTGCCTTATGGTGGCCTGTGCCACAGCATAGTTTGCCTTTGCTCCCTACAGCATAAGAAAAGGTTTAAACTGACAAGTGTAAGCACATCACGCAGATTGTGTAGTGACCTAATGGGAATGATACAGTCACAGGGCTGTCCTCAGTTTTCCTTAATACAGAAAAGCAGTTGTCCTTTAAGTGTCTCATACAGTCTATACTTAAACCATAAGACCAGGTCTCAGGAAAAAACTACCTCATGTACCCGCAGGCACCCCATGCAGAGGTCACTCATGCTGAATACTAGTGAAGCTCGGCGATCGGGTGATTCCCGAAACGCCAAGCGAGCGGGGAAGGCGGCCGTCGGGATCTCGCGAGCCGCGAGATCCAAGATGGCCGCTGCCCGCGTGTGGAGGAGCGCGACGATCGCGGTCGCGCAGAGGAAAAACGAAGGAAAATAAGATTAAAAATAAAACTAAACTGATCTAGCCTCCCTCCACCCGTCCCCATACAGTCCCCCAAATATATAAAGTGCAGGTCCGCGGGCGAGCGCGACACGGGCAGTCGTGACGTCCGCGGACTGCCAGGCATAACAAAGTAAAATACAGAGGGGGAGAAAAAAGGAAGAAGGGACAGGTTATAAGAGGGCCAGATAGCAGTAGTTGAAAAATCATTATGACAATAGTAATACATTGTAAAAAAAGAATAAACCAGAGAGGCAAAATACTCTGACCTGTTGTAGGCTGGAGCAGCAAAGAAAGAGGAAGTGATGTCATAGACAGGGCCTTATATGGGCACCATATCTTTTCTCTGATTGGTTGTTACTGTTTCTATGCTGCTGGAGTTTTCAGTAAAGAAAGATATGCAAATATGAAGCCTCCTGTCATGTAGTAAAATTGATACACCCTTCAACTTGTGTGGTGAATAAGCATGGTATGCTTGGGAGTAATGTTTTGTGTGTAACATAGGTGGTCTATGGACACAGAAGTGGGTCTCCTGGATATAAACCACTGTAGCTCAGGACTCGGGGCATTTCTTGGATGGCAAATCTGCATTTGTGTGGACTATTTAGGGAATGGACGTTTAAGGAGACAATCTTAAAAGTGAGATCTGACATAGGTGCATCTAGTACATCTAGGATAGATCTGCTCCCCCATATCTCCCTCAAGGAGGACCGTAGATTTCTCTGTTGGTTTTGGGTTAGATCTTGTGCTACAAGTGTGAGTAAAATGTTTTATATTGGCTTGTTTGTGAGTGAAGTCATTCAACAAGGACATAAGAGTGTAGATCATGGAGGTTGTTTGCCACATTTTTGAGAATAAACAATAAAAAGAAAATATATACGATGAACATTTCATGTTATGCAAACTCGGTGACCGAAAGGTAAACTGGAGAAGGGGTTCGACATATATTCGGCCTGAGGGACGGGGGTAGAGTGTTTTCCAGCGAAGCTTGTGCCCTTAGTGATATTTTGTGATTTTTCATTTGTTTCACTTTCATACTTATAAAAGAAACAAAAAGCGCCTTCTTAGTGAGGAAGAGATATGTGTATATTGTGAGCAACACAAGTCAACTCTATCTCATTGCTCGGGCGTTACAGAGTTGGCAGAGGCACGCAAATCATACAAAATTATTTCACAGGTTTTACATGGATTACTGAAGTGATCCTGTTCAGCGTGGTATGGTCACTGATTTTACAGGCCGAGGGTGGCCAGCAATGAGGGTGTAGTATCCGCTTCCTCCATTATGTCTGCGTATGGAAGAGTTGGGGGTGTTAGGCCCCCAGGATTTTGTGGAGTGGAAATAGTTTGTCTATAGGGACAGCATAGCATCAAAACATTTATTTCCACTCCACATAAGAAGCGAAAACCTCCCCAATGTGCTACTGAACTGGAGACAGCGTGAGACCATCCACCGTGACAATGTGTTCCTGAGTAGTTTTAAGGCCCTGTCTCAATATTTAGGCGGTACATAAGTGATAGATGTATTATAAGTATTCTTATTATTCCATCATACTTAAGGTTTACAGGTGCTACAAAGATTACCAGTATGATAAGAATCCTGTTCATCATGGTTTGTGCACTGCTATGCATCATTTAAAGCTGTAGATGGAGGGCAATTTGTATGAGTTCCCTTAGGTTATAATAGCTGCAACCTCCATCACATCTGAATACTTTGTGCAGTAGTTGGGGATATTAAGATTTTTAGGAGTCATTTGTGTGGGGTAGAATATATCAATAAGATCAACATAACATCAGCAACCCCTACATACAGCTACCAAATCACTCTATATAACAACCGCAAACTTCAGCAGCCCAAAGCATAAACGTGAACTAACATGAAAATTAGCCAACCATAAATGTAACCTTAGCAGTTGGTTACAGAATACTCAAGTGAGTTGTGGAGAGTGTAGATGTAGTACAGTCACTTCTGGACTTCCCTTTGTGTCTTGGAGCCCGATGGGGAGC